GTGTATGTGCTCAAGCTATCCAAGAAACAGTCTGACAATTGGACGGCCTAGAAACCCATGATATATAGAATACTAGCTTTTCTTGTTTGTTGGATTTTTTTAAAATTTTTTAAAAAAATTTGAAGACTGACACAGGAAAGGCCAAAACGATTAGTCAAAGGATAGGTCACCTTTCTTCATATATGTATATGTGTTTTTTATTTTAAAAAGCATTACCAATAGGCCGTCCAATTGTTAATTAGACCCTTTCTTGGTTTGCCTTAGCACATTTACAGCAAATTAAGGTGAAACAATCCGCCCCAAGCTCAAGTACATTATATACATTCAACATTTGTCATGAAGTAATCTTCTATTGTCAAGACAAGTGGTACCTGACAAACTCAGAAAATGAATCCGAATCATGCGTTCGGACAAAAATCAATCTCGTCAACCATCTAATTTTTTAGATTCATAGTTTGATAAGAGAATATTCACACAACTAATTGCGATTCATATATATTCAACAGAACGCACGTATCAATGTGTTAATACATCCAAATTAAGATGCAGTTCTTAAACAAACAAAACAGTGGCTGCACAAACACTATACATATACGTACGTAACCCTCTTGCACATATGTGTCACTAAACCATCTAAAGAAGGATGTTATGGCAGTTACTGCCACCCAACATGGGATCCGGACCACATTTCTGTCTTCTCTTGCCAAAGTTCCTTGATTTGTCGGACTCATCATATATTCTTATACAATTATCACCTGCATATATATAAGTACAAAATTTTCTCATTCTATATACTTGAGTTTCAATGTATATGCATGGCCCAGTTGCTCCAGTCAAAGCCAACATTAAAAGCCGGCCTTTTGTTCTTTACACAATTGTCTTTGCTGAGATTCCTAGCTAGCTAGCTCTTCCTTCCTCTCACTTCTATTACTATCACCCCCTAACTCATCCATTAACTTTAGTGCATAGAGAGGGAAAGCTATGGAGGATGATGCTAAGAAGTTGGAAGAAGGCCGTCTTCATAACAAAGATGATTTGATCAGTGAGAAAGTAAATACAACATCTGATCACAATGGTCGTGGGGATGCCATTGACCATGATCATGAGGATCATGAGGAGAAGAACAAAGCAGCGGTGGCGGCCGCACCTCTGGAGGAGGAACAAATCAAGGGGGAGGAGCAACCAGTACTAGTTGTTAAGCAGAAAAGCAAGAGGGTTGCTACTTTGGATGCATTCAGAGGCCTCACCATAGTGGTACATATTCATGATCAACTGTTCCGTTTTCACAACATAACATATTATACACAGTGCCTTTTCTCATGGTGTATGATTGCTTTGATCTTGCTAATTTGTACATGCATCATGCATGCATGCATATTGTGACTAGTAAGAGATCATCTGTATATGTGAATGCAGGTGATGATATTGGTAGATGGTGCTGGAGGAGCATATGCTCGTATTGACCATGATGTACATTGGCCGATTTTGTGATGCCCTTCTTCCTCTTCATTGTGGGGTTCGCCATAGCCCTTGCTCTCAAGGTTTAATACATTAATATACACTTCTCCTTTCAATGTTTCAATGTTTCAATGTTTCAAATGTTTTTGTCTGCTGGATATTATGTAACGCACGACCTCTTAATCGGTTAATCCATAAGACAATAATCTTTTACCAAAATTTTGTGTGTAGGTTTCTAACTTTGTGTGCCAATTTGATCACTGACTTAAATTTTATGACAAAATTTTGATTTTGCAGAAATTCCCAAGATCAATGATGCAATCAAGAAGATTATTTTAAGAACATTGAAGCTTATGTTTTGGGGAATCATTTTGCAAGGTAATAGTCCTGTGTTAAGGACGTAGCTTTCCTTGTCAAGAGGACAAGATACTTTGCTTAAACAATAACACATTGACTTCGATTAGCTAAGGAGAATTAATGTGCCAAATTCAAATCTTCTTCCCAAAAAATATATATTGTTTGGCTCTGGTGTATGAACTCACTCTCCCATGTAGTGCAGGAGGATCTCTTTTACGGAGTTGACATGAAACAAATTCGATGGTTTGGCATCATACAGGTGTTTCCCTAAACCCCTTTTTTTTATTTATAACCCAGGAAAGGAATTCAAAGCACACCGCCTAATAGTGTCTCCAAGCATAATGGCGAAAGCTCCTTTGTCCCTTCCTCCAAAATACCCTACTTTTACCAAAACGTCAAAAAGGTATAATTGCACGCTTACAAGTTACATGTCCTATTGTGTGCTTTCATGTGGCATATTTCACCGGCCGAATTTTGAAAATTCTTTTTTCTTATCGCAACTGGTTATATACAACTATGTGTTTATCTAAACTCGTCGCACCATATAAATAACATACTAATGAATGGCAACAACCTACAGAAAAAGAGCACTATTGCTGCCACAAATTAATGAGTGGCAGCTGGGATTTTTTGATCGTACTTGAACCAAGAAAGAGAGCAAATTGGAGGTTTCTGCAAATATTTGAAGCGAATTGTGAGGGTGGTGGAATAAGAGAACAAGTTGGGCAAATGTTGTGATAGCTAAGGGTGGCAAGTGCCAGAAGTTAGCTTAACTAAGAGACAGACTAGAGTTATAGTTTGGTCCAGCCAAACCTAGAACTGGGCAATCTATTGCTTCTATGCAATGGGTTTGGCTCACAAGAGGCCAAGGAGGAAATGAACAAAAGGAATTCAGATTCTGTCATACAACTGGCAAAATGGGTCAAGGCCATAGTGGCATAGTCAACAATACTTAAGCTTACTTTGGGATTGATTTGGCTTTTGGAAAAAGAAACAAATTTACTGAAAATATTATGAAAATAGGAGGGAGGCTAGCTATATCACTTTTAAGTGACACATGGTCTAAATTGCTATACAAAAGCACTTTAAAAAGAAAACCATTTTAAGTGCTTTTTGGAAAAGAAAAGTACAAGCACCCTCTTGAAAAACCATCCCTATAGTTTATTTGCTTCTAATACTATAACTAAATTCTAATTAAGAAAATATATTAATGATCTGAATTACAATGTTTGAAGAGAGAGATCATGTTTTTTTCCTTTGTAAATGATTTCCATAGAAAATTACAAGAAGATTCTGAGCAATTAATTAGCTACCTCATTGATTTTCCCCTACCCTATTTTTCAAATCCAAGTTGGTCTCTGAACCTTGTGGTGCTGCGGAGGAGGTTGAACCGTGAGCAGCAGCAGCAGCAGCAACAGTTGCTTTGGCCTCTATTTCTGTCAAAGGCACCATGCCACTTGAAGCAGCTACATCAGATTCAGCTGCCTCAGCTGCCTCTCTGAACTTCTTGTAAATATCACTTCTATAAAAATTTCTAGTCCTGATCACCAAAATAAATGAAACAAGGCTCCCAAACAAAGCCACTGCAGCCATTATAATGAAAGCCAATCTGTAACAATGCACTCCTTCACAAGTCAAGTCCTCACCTGCTTTCCTAACCTTACCCAAAGCTTTCAGTTGCTTCAAGGCCTCTGCATCATATAAATTACCGGCCACTTTCACATTCAGAAGGTAACCCCCAATAGGGCTAGCAGCACAACCAACACTGATCAAAGTGGCACAGTATTTGAGGCCAAATATTTCTGAAATGATGGCAAAAATCAATGGCCATTGTGCCCCAAAACAGAACCCAATAATCACAGAAGCAAAGTAGAGAGAGTTGGGGACGCCGAATGCGATTAGAAGATGGCCAACGCATGATAAAAGAAGCACAAGAGTGAGCAAGAGGGGACGAGGGAACTTGTACTTTTTCAAAAGCACTTCTGAAGAGAAGCCAGAGGTAACTCTTCCAAGGTAATTCCAGATGCTTACCAGAGATATAAAAGTGCTTATGCTGTGAGTTGGGTAGCCTAATGAGCTCCCAATCTGACCCAAGTTGTCGATGGCGGTTAATGTCCCACCGGCACCACAGGTTATAGCAATGAACAAGATCAACATGTCAATGCTGAAAACTGCTTGCAGTATGGTGTAGTCCTCACCTCTATCTGGTGGGCTGAAAACATTTTGCAAGCAAGAATTTGGCTTCTGCTGGGTTTGTGGAGATGGTGGTGCTGCAACAGGTGGCATGGCAACTTGAACAGGAGGAGCTGGATTCTCAGCTACTACTTCGAGCTGAGATTGATCATTCAATGCTCTCATTTTGCTCTTCCAGATTTTGAATTCTTCGAAAATAACAACGGCAAGCGGAAGAAAGAGTAACACAAGCACAACTGAAGCACTTCCAATGTACCCAATTCTTGAAAATCTCAGGTTGTGTTGTATGATAATTAAAAACATGAGAAACCCAGCTAGGCCAAGAGTAACGTAGAGAAGATTGTAGAAGACCCTGAGCTCATTTGGTTGTCGAACAACCTTCAACAATCGGATTATTGGAAGAAACACCATTGAAACAGCAGCTGGAAGCCAACCAATTAACAAGATAAGAGCCTTTGAGTGGACACCATAGAAAGCATAGAAGAGCTGTGTAATAATTGCACCACTTAGGCCAACAAGTCCCTTCAAGAGCCCCAAAACACTGCCTCTACTCTCCGGGAAATTCTTAACAGAACTCACTACAACAGCAATGTTTGAAAATGTCTGAGAATTTGCACCTATGCAAATGTACAAACACATCTGCCACACCCGGGGCTTCGACGTTCGACCTGTCACTGCTAGCCATATCATGAAATACCCGAAAAAGTTCATGACCACACCGATTAACAGGACCACCCACGGAGCTGTGAACTCGTTGATGAGGCCGGCTATGACCCCAACATTGGACCCCAAGTCCTTGAAGAAGCTCAGCAAATTGACTGTTGTTTGGTCATAGCCTAGAGATGTTTTGACGTCATTGGAGTAGAGGCCAAACATATATGTTGCTCCAGACACTGACAAGATCAACATTGAAGCAAAAACCGTGAACCATCTTCCATGGACAACTTGCATGCCAAAGCTCCTCATCTCCTTGTGGCCTAAACCACCACCACCAAAACTGAACTCAGCCACCACCATGTTTTGTTTTTTTCCTCTTCTTCTTCTTCAAAACAAAAGAATTTCCAACACAGTTGGGTTCTTTAATTAGTGGTTACTTAGTACCATTTGTACACACACACACATATATATATACATATATACATGAACAACGGAGATTTGGCTGAAAGGGAGGTGGGAAATGAATAAGGAGTTTCACATTGACTGGATAGTTGACCTGCCTCTAGGAATTGATGAAAGGCTTTCTGTGAAGAGTAAAAGATAAGGTGGAGACTTTGGGTTCAACCTGTCCATCTTTTGTGACATGTGTGCTGTTAGAAAAATCACTTCTTGCACAAACGAACCAAATACATACACAAATTTGATGTGCATGATTATTTTATTAGTTGATCCAATTAAAGAACATACGAATTTGATGACTGATTTAGGAGTTTTGGTGGTTACATCACACCCATTGTGAACAGATTCATATGATTAGAACTGCTATAGCACGAGCAAGGAAAATGAAAGGTGAATATATTCTTTTTACTGTAAGTCAATATTCAATATTAGACAAACTTACTTTGCTTTGTCCTGTTCTCTTCCGGATTTCCAACTCCAGGTCCAGACCCCCAAAATATCTTCAAAACAAATTAATTTAGGGGAAATATGCTGATATAATCACTTTTTACAAACGGAATTCTGAAATGATCACATTACAAATTGTATTTGGATATAATCACTTGGGGACATGAAATTACCTAAGTGCCCTCCATATAAAAACATATCTATTGTGGAGTTATTGGCCATTGATTGCCGACCTAACACTTCTGACTTCTGTCTCTGTCTCAGCTGTCTCTCACGGTTCTCTCTTCCTCTCTCGGTGCTCTCTTCCTCTCTCGGTGCTCTCTCTCCATCGACCACCACCACTCTCTTTCTCCCTCTATCGCGAAAACCTAAGTAGCACTCTCTCGTTCTCTCTCTGCAGTCAAAATTAGGGTTTGTTGAGGGGGTTCTTGAAGGTGAAAGAGAGGGTTTCTTCGTTTAATGCTCTCTCCCTTCAACAATGTCTCAGTTCCCTCTCTTTTCATGTCTTCAATCGACATCTTTCTCTTCTCCTCTGCTCCTTTAGGGCGTCAAAAAACCCTAATTCTTGGTTTCGGTTCTGACTTTTTTCACATACTTCCTCCTCATCGTCAATCCTCTCACATACAAAACCCGTGCTTTTATTTAGGTGTTTCTAGGATTTCCAATTCGGTTGTCTGTGCAAAACGAGTGATTCTAAGGTGGGTTTTGTATTTGTTATTGACTAGTTTGTGTTTTTGTATGGTTTTCATTTGAGAAGGATAATTTCACTAACCTGTGACTGATTTTGTGAACTTTAGTAATTAGAGAGATTGGAAATTTCTGTATTATAACTGTGAATTAGTACATGCTTGGATGAAACTTCTATTGCTCTGATTGACTTTGCTATATGGACGAAGAAGTGATTATATCAGCATATCGATATGATTGTAGCGCGATGTGGTGAATCTTACAATATATCAACGACTGACAACAAAACATATTTACTTATTTATCTTCCTCATTTATGTATATTGCTTCTAGATGGTTTGTACCTAACCCTTTTATCTCAATTTGATGCACTTTGTGGAAGTCGTAAAAGCAAAGGTCAGAATAAGCAAGGGACTTTCAGAACCAGTTGGACAATGAAATGAAAGCTAACCAATAAAGCCACCATTCCCCAAATCAGTTTCCAAATGCATGAATAATGTATTTATCACTTGTGCTCCAGAGTTTTGCCTTAGAAACACATTCACCTCACATACTGAAAGCTCATTGTGCGCATAAACTTACCAAAACCAAAAAGAAAGAAAGCGCAAATTTATGGACCCCTTCTGAATTTTCTGATGGCCAATGAAGCAATTGGCTTTGCGTAATGGCAAAGACTTCTTGTGTAAAATGGAAGCCCGTCTTGCAGGAAAATGACAAGATAATCATGGCAATATGGCATGTGATTTGGCTCTATCTTATGTTCCAAAGCTTGTCTGTTACCAGCTTTGGATAAGGGAAATGAGATATTATTTGAATGGGTTGATGATTTTGTTACACAATCTTATAATTGATATGATACGAATCAAAACACGAAAGTGGATTCGAATTAACAATTGCTTAATCAAATACGAACAATTCGATTTTAATGTAACTAATTTATTAAACGTGTATCATGTGAATCTTTAATTATTAAATCGGTGAATTATTATTATTTTCTTCTGTTATGAGGGAGCGTCTCAATTAGTTTAGGAATAAGACGCATATTATTAAACTTCAAAATTAGGGTTGATTAGTACTAGTAGGAGAAAACCCCAAAATAACACGAATCAAACACTGTCCGAGTCAATCCATTCATGTATTCAAATGGACAAGCAAAGCTGCGTGGTTGTTTTGTGATCAAATTCCAAATGGGATTTGAATTGCATTCGTATAATTTGACACTACAATCACGTTGGTCCACACAATGAATGATTGGTTTTGTGTATTCAAAGATACTATCGTATGTGAATTATTGGAGGAAGGTCGATAACTTGCCTAGTCAACAAACGTGCCCATTAGGGGGATTTATGTCTTATTTGATTCACAAAGCCCATGTGGCAAGGGCCAGCTGGGCTGGAAGTTTCAAGTCTTATAGCCCAAGCACAAATAGAATAATATTTTCACAAGGCCCAAGTGGCAAGTGCGGGCTGGGGCGGGGAAGGAAGAGCTCAATGCAGAGCTATTAATATAAAAAGCACTTTTGCTTATAAGCGTTTTTAATAAAATACACACAACAAATGTACAAGTTTCACAACTTCATGGCGGATGGAGTTTATGCATGCCAATTACTTCTTGATAGTGACATTCAGTCTTTATTTTATTGGGAGAGGATGGACGACAAATTTTAATAAAATAAATAAAACAAAGTTTATGCAAAATATATGTAATGTTGTCGGCAATAACTTTTGTGTATGTGCTCAAGCTATCCAAGAAACAGTCAGACAATTGGACGGCCTAGAAACCTAGGTACGTAGTATTATATTGGATCACATGATACCCATGATTTTTTTTTTCTTTTTTTTTATATTTTGAAGACTGACACAAACGATTAGTCAAAGGATAGGTCACCTTTCTACATATATATATGTGTGTGTTTTTTCTTTTAAAAAGTTTTACCAATAGGCCGTCCAATTGTTAATTAGACCCTTTCTTGGTTTGCCTTGGCACATTTACAGCAAATTAAGGTAAAACAATCCGCCCCAATCACAAGTATATTATATACATTCAACATTTGTCATGAAGTAATCTTCTATTGTCAAGACAAGTGGTACCTGACAAAATGAATCCGAATCATGCATTCGGACAAAAATCAATCTCGTCAAGCATCTAATTTTTCAGATTAATAGTTTGATAAACACATTTACAACTAATTGCAATTCATATACATTCAACGGAACGCATGTATCAATGTGTTAATACATCCAAAGATGCAGTTCATGAACAAACAAAACAGTGGTTGCACAAACACTATACATATACGTACGTACCCTCTTGCACATATATGTAACTAAACCATCCATTTTAAAGAAGGATGTTATGGCAGTTACTGCCACCCACCATGGGATCCGGACCACATTTCTGTCTTCTCTTGCCAAAGTTCCTTGATTTGTCCGACTCATCATATATTCTTATACAATTATCACCTGCATATATATAAGTACAAAATTTTCTCATTCTATATACTTGAGTTTCAATGTATATATGCATGGCCCAGTTGCTCCAGTCAAAGCCAACATTAAAAGCCGGCCTTTTGTTCTTTACACAATTGTCTTTGCTGAGATTCCTAGCTAGCTAGCTCTTCCTTCCTCTCACTTCTATTACCATCACCCCCTAACTTATCCAATAACTTTAGTGCATAGAGAGGGAAAGCTATGGAGGATGATGCTAAGAAGTTGGAAGAAGGCCGTCTTCATAACAAGGATGGTTTGATCAGTGAGAAAGTAAATACAACATCTGATCACAATGGTCGTGGAGATGCCATTGACCATGATCATGAGGATCATGAGGAGAAGAACAAAGCGGCGGTGGCGGCCGCACCTCTGAAGGCGGACCAAATCAAGGGGGAGGAGCAACCAGTACTAGTGGTTAAGCAGAAAAGCAAGAGGGTTGCTACTTTGGATGCATTCAGAGGCCTCACCATAGTGGTACATATTCATAACCAACCATTCCGTCTTCACAGTCTAATAACATAACATATTATACATAGTGCCTTTTCTCATGGTGTATGATTGCTTTGATCTTGCTAATTTGTACATGCATGCATGCATACTGTGACAAGTAAGAGATCATGTGTATATGTGAATGCAGGTGATGATATTGGTAGATGATGCTGGAGGAGCATATGCTCGTATTGACCATTCGCCATGGAACGGATGTACATTGGCCGATTTTGTGATGCCCTTCTTCCTCTTCATTGTGGGGGTCGCCATAGCCCTTGCTCTCAAGGTTTAATACATTAATATACACTTCTCCTTTCAATGTTTCAATGTTTCAATGTTTTTGTCTGCTGGATATTATGTAACGCACGACCTCTTAATCGGTTAATCCATAAGACAATAATCTTTTACCAAAATTTTGTGTGTAGGTTTCTAACTTTGTGTGCCAATTTGATCACTGACTTAAATTTTATGACAAAATTTTGATTTTGCAGAAAATTCCCAAGATCAATGAGGCAATCAAGAAGATTATTTTAAGAACATTGAAGCTTATGTTTTGGGGAATCATTTTGCAAGGTAATAGTCCTGTGTTAAGGACGTAGCTTTCCTTGTCAAGAGGACAAGAAACTTTGCTTAAACAATAACACATTGACTTCGCTTAGCGAAGGAGAATTAATGTGCCAAATTCAAATCTTCTTCCCTAAAAAGATATATTGTTTGGCTCTGGTGTATGAACTCTCTCTCTCCCATGTAGTGCAGGAGGATACTCCCATGCGCCGGATGATCTCTCTTACGGAGTTGACATGAAACAAATTCGATGGTTCGGCATCCTCCAGGTGTTTCCCCAAACCCTTTATTTTTTTTATAAAAAAAATTTCTTTTCTTTCACATTGATGAAACTCACAAGGACTCACCTGACATTGTTTTTCTTTCTTGGTTTGTATGTGTTGGTAAATGATAAACAGAGAATAGCATTGGTTTACTTTGTTGTTGCTCTAATAGAGACACTCACCACCAAGCTTAGACCAACTGTCCTTGAGCCTGGCCACCTCTCTATTTTCACTGCATATAAATGGCAGTGGTAAGTAAACAGACTAAGGTCTTGAATTTCACTATCACATAAGCAAAGTTTAGCAAATTTATCCCAGTTTGAATTTTGTACCTTTGTTCAATGTGGGTATCTAGTATTGTTTTAATGTACCATTCTGCAGGATTGGAGGGTTCGTCGCATTCCTCATCTACATGATCACAACATTTTCATTATATGTTCCAGATTGGAGTTTCGTGGTAGACAACGATCTTGAATCGAAAAAATACTTGGTATGTATGTTTGTTTGTTTAATGACTAAATGTAGGAAGTTTTCACTTTTCACCATTTCTTAAATTTGTTTTCTACTTTTTTTCAGGTTAAGTGTGGGATGAGGGGACATCTAGGACCTGCTTGCAATGCAGTTGGATATGTGGATCGACAGGTCTGGGGCATAAATCATCTCTACACACAACCTGTTTGGAGACGCTTGAAGGTTTTAGCTCTTAATAGCTTAGCTATATAAATTTGATGCAGTTGTATAATCAGAAAAACTATTTGTACCATCTCTGTCTGCGCTACATTAGCTCTACTCATATTTCAATTGTCATGCATCTAATGAGCAAAAAAACGGAGAGGGAAAATAATATTTAAGTTTTTGTTGTGATTTTTGTGACAATTTTGTAGGCCTGCACCCTTAGCTCTCCGAGTGACGGTCCTCTTCGAGAGGGAGCTCCAAGTTGGTGCACAGGACCATTTGAACCTGAAGGCTTGTTGAGGTATGCTAATTGAGTAACACGTGTGAATTACATGCTTACTACATGAAGAGCAAAGATGGAACTCAAATACTTTTGGCTGCTCTTCTTTCTCAGTTCCATTTCAGCTATCCTTAGCGGCACCATTGGCATCCATTATGGGCACGTTTTGATCCATTTCAAGGTTACACATCTCTCTAAACTCACAGATTAGTGCACTTTTTAGTTATATTTTGAAATTCATTTAGGATGGTGAAGTTGGATTCTCATGCATGCAGGGTCACTCTGAGAGGCTCAAACAATGGGTTTCAATGGGGTTTGTCTTGATTGTCATAGCCATCATTCTGCATTTTACAGATGGTGAGCTTCCTTCACCTTTTTGTGCCTAGTTCTTGGCTCTACTTTCTCTGCCTCAAACAATTCAACATGAAACAATCCATGTTCCAAAGTTAAACTTCTTAATTTGTAACTTGCTTGCAGCTATTCCCATCAATAAGCAACTCTACAGCTTCAGCTACGTTTGTTTCACAGCTGGTGCAGCTGGACTGGTTTTTTCTGGATTTTATTTACTGGTAAACAAGTTGAAACCTATTCAAGCTATCGCTTCTATTCCAATTGAAGATTAATCCAGGGACAACTAATGACTATCTTCTACATAAACAGATTGATGTTTGGGGCTACCGGACGCCGTTTTTGTTCCTGGAATGGATAGGAATGAATGCAATGCTAGTGTTTGTGATGGCAGCTCAGGGCATCTTTGCAGCATTCGTAAATGGATGGTATTATAAATCTCCAGACAAGTCACTTGTAAGTATAATCAATCCCCTTTTTCAAAATCATACTAAATACTCCTGCTTTGATACAATTTGTCTGGAAATGTAATCTAATTTAGTGAAGGAACCAAACTGTTAACAGGTGCATTGGATCCAAAAACATGTTTTCATCAATGTATGGCACTCAAAGAGGCTAGGAACCCTCTTATATGTCATATTTGCTGAGATCTTATTCTGGGGAGTAGTTGCAGGCATCTTGCACAAATTCAGAATATACTGGAAGCTGTAGAAGTAAAAAAAACAGAAGGCAACAAAGATTAAAAGAAGACCCCAGCAATCTGTATTTGTGACATATTTACTTTTACCCTTCATGGGTTCTTTTCAGTGTGGATTTCTTTTGCTATTTTATTTGATATACTCAAAAGTAATTAAGGATAATTTAATATGTTTATTCTTCTATGAATGAGGGATATATATATATATATATATGTACTTACCTATAGAGATTATATAAATAGAAAATATATACAAATTCTATTAGTAATAGAAACGTTGACTCACGCCAACAGCTATTAACTTTCTTTGATCTAGGTCCAGGTCCTTAACCCATTATGCAAGTTTGCAAGTCCAATCAGGTACATGAAATTATATGCATTTTTTTGACTAAACCGTAGACTACTTTTTGGGTGCTCAAATCGTAATTCCATTTGGGAGAAAGTGGTTAGTTTTTGGCAAATGGTTTTCACATCAAATGATGTCTCACCCTCAAATTTCAAACAACGTTAGATAAGAGGTTCCATTCTGCTCTCATCAAGTGGCTCTTTTCCTGAAAAACGACTTATATCTGCCGGGCTGTATACTCTTTTAGATGTGGAAATCTTGAATCTAATAAGTCTTGGGTGACCTAGACCTGGAATCTTATGTATCTTTTGAGCCATACCTTTGTGATTTTTCATGGGTTGTTTTGTTTTATTTGCTTATTATACAGAAAGTTCCCTAAAAAAGTAGCAGCACATATCTCCTTTAGCATTCGTCTGAATTATTAATTAGCGTTTCTATCTTTCTGTAGCTGAACCTATCTGCACCAGCGAAAGTTGAGGAAACTTTGTGGCCTGAGAGCAACCTTTACCAGCAAAGACTTTTCACCTTTTCATAAAGAACTAGTAAATTGAAATAAACAACCACAATCATAATGGCCACAACAAGATGAAAACATGCATAAAATAAAATAAAACTTATATAAGATCCAATGGTACTAGGAACCGTGTCCTGTCTGTCTGTCCTGTCTAAAGATGTTCCAAATTTGATGGTGAAATATTTGAGTAAAAAAGGTTTATTTAAGGGAGATTTACTATTATACCCAATATAAGGGCTCAAATTATAAGAAAACTCTATATGAAATGGACTTCAGAAACACACCCAAAGCTCATTTACAACATAACAAAGAGGCTTTTAACTCCTTCTAAATAACAATATTGCCATTGATTTCTTAAAACAAGCTTAACCCCAAAACCTCATAAAAAAACCCAAAACACTCAATAAGATATCAAAGTAATTTAATAATTAAAATTAAATTCAATAGGGTCAGCTGTCATTTTTTGGGTTTTTTTTTTTTTGGTTTGTTTATGGAAATTAAATGGTGTACGATTTATCTATATCATTAATGCGAAAAATGAGTATATGACTAAATATCTCTTATGGTGTGTTTACTAATCAGGAATTGGAATTCTCATCAGGAATTGGAATATCTCTTATGGTGTGTTTAGTAAACATGCCATTAATTTAATGCACTTCAAGTGGGTCAGAAATTCAGAATCAGCTCAAGCAAGGGCCCTTCAGAACAAGTTGGACAATGAAATGAAAGCTAACCAATAAATCCATGACCCCCAAAATCAGTTTCCAAGTGCGTGTATTTATCACTTGTGGTCCAGCGTTGCCTTAGAAACACTTTCACCTCACAGATTGAAAGCTCATAAACTTACCAAAACCCAAAAAGAAAGAAAGCGCAAATGGTGAATTCTGATGACCGAGGAAGCAATTGCTTTGCCTAATGGTGACCTCTCTAACTGCGTCATACCTTTAAAAGGCAAAGACTTGTTGTGTAAAATGGAAGACGAATACCCATCTTTCAAGAAAATGACATGATAACCATGCCAAAACGGCATATGATAACTTTGCTTTTGCTGTATATGTGCTCAAGCTAGGTGGCTCATTGGCACATTTACAACAAATTAAGGTGAAGCATTCCGCCCAAGCTCAACTATTTTTCTATTGTCAAGAGTCTCAAGACTCGTATTATTTGAAAAACTTAAAAAATGATTTGTCGCCAATGGGGTTCCCACCACAATGGTGGTTGATTCCCCCTCCCCTCCATGGCACTCAGGATCAAATTCCATTTTATTAAAGTTTGTGATTTTTCAATGGTTGTTTAATAAATTGAAGTGGGAAAATGATAATTCTTTTGTTAGAAAATAGAGGTTTAGCTCACGAACATGTAGGCGCAAACGGTTTGCGATTTAGACTTCGAATGAGAAAGTTAGTGGACTTGAAAATGCGAAGGATAAAATAAAAAGAAAAGGACAGGACAGGTCACTGTTCACAAGTGGACTGCCACGACTTTCTTCTTCTTCTGCTGCTACTTTTCTCTTCCATTTTCCTCGTTCTTCATCTTCTTCTTTAGAAAACCCAAAACTCGTGGGTACTTTCCATCAGTCTAGAAGTCCCATTTATAAAGCTCAAATCAGAAACACTTCTTCATCAAAGTTGTTCATCTGCTCGAGTACTATAACATATCGAAAACTTAGCATAATCAGATCAATCTAGCTACCTCAAACGGGCTCTGATATTTCTGTGTTCATCCATAGCTGGTGAGTTTTCTGCAGCTTGGTTTTCAACATTTTTCTATAATCTCCAATGCTCGTTTGACAAAAATTCCTTTACTAAAATTGTTCCTCAGTTTGAGAACTGTGACATATTCAAAAAGCAAAGCAATTGAACTACTCTAACTATGTCTGTGGTAACTTGTAAGCATGTTCGTCACTTCCTCAGATCCTGCTGTTATCACTGTACACTACATTATTCACTCTTGTATGTCAATTTCCCTTGCTCAGATGACAATACTTCCTTGATGAAGGTTGTTCAGAAATCTGTTCTCTACAACATATCCAAAAATCGTGGTAGTCCAACTAGTGTAGCTTTTGGCAGTGGTACACATGAAACAAGCTTTTATTAGTTTTCGAGTGTTGTTTGAGTTGGTTATTTCTCTTTGGAGCTTCATTCAAGATTTCAGACCAATTCAGAGGATCAAGGTAAAGTTTTAAGATGGTTTGATTTCTTGACATTTGTTTTCGAGTTGTTGGCCGAAGCCGGTTCTAAAGTGGGAGGACCAAAAGGCAATTTAAAATCAATATAAGCACCAAAGTGAAATTATTGAAATGTATGAGGACTGAAATGTAATTTGGACAAAGTATAAGAGCCAAAGTGAAAATATAGGAAAGTATAAGAACAAACATGAAGTTATTGACAAGTGTGAGGACTAATGTGCAATTAAAGATAGTTATAAGGACTAAATTGCAAATAAAGATTTTTAGTAAGATTTTGAAATGTTGGACTAGAAATCAGTTGCCCAAGCAAGGAAAATTTGTGTTTGAAAGTGCAGAAGGCAAGTCAGGCATCAGCTTTGGATTCTAAGTAAAGGGACTCATTTTCATACTTGTATTTTGTGTATGTATGACATAGTAAATATTGTTGTGCGGAAAAGCTGCATTGTTTATAATTGTCATATATGCTTGGTTTTGGATTTTCCAAAATTTGGAGGGCACTTGCCTGCGGGCAGTTTCATCGATGACCTGAGGGTGAAAGGGGCATATCGTCTTTTTTGGGTTTCGATCCCCTAAACCTTTGGAGGGGTTACATAGACAGACTTTACCTTGCGCATGAGGTTTAGTTGAGGCAGTTTAGTCGTTGATTGGACACTCTCGCTACCATAACAGATGAGTTGGATTTCATTATTATTTCTTGTAAGGGTAGTTGGTTTTGAATCCACCATAAATGGATACAGTTTGTGTTGTGCATATTTTTTCACTGTTTTCTATATCAAATCGAGATCTGTTTTCTATATCAAATCGAGATCTCATTATATTATTATTACTATATTCGTTATTTATTTTCAAACGGAGCCCTCTTGCTGGGCAAATGAACATATGTGATACTCACTCCTATTTTTGTTGTAGATTACATTCGTGGGTGACATCTTGGTGTGACTTCGTCACTTTTTAGCATCTGAATCGTGTCTCACGTAATTTGACAAGTTGTGAACTCTATTCCTCACAGCTGATCACATTATTACTTATTTTGTATAACTACGAATTTTGGATGGGTTGGTAAAGTTTTATTATTTGGTTTGCAAAATAATTTCTGAGGTTGTTGGTACTATACCATGACCTCTGGGGTTGGTTTAAATTTCAAATATATTTTGTATAATATTATACTTATTTTTCTATTGTAGTTAAAAACTCTTATTCAACCCGTTTTAATTTAAATAGAAGGACTCAACGTATTTTGGGAATGTATTTTGGGAATTCTGGGAGTATAACCTTGGAATCTAAGTGCTATATTTTCAAAATCCTCAAGGTACGTGCCGCTGTCACAACAAGATTTCAGGGCCTGAAAACAGCAGTGATTGCACAAACGCTATACATATACGTACGTACCATCTTGCACATAACCATCCATTTTAAAGAAGGATGTTATATTACTACCACCCACCATGGGCTCGGGACCACATTTCTCTCTTCTCTTGCCAAAGTTCCTTGATTTGTCCGACTCATCATATATTCTTATACAATTATATCACCTATATATATGTATACATTTTTTTTTTCTCATTACCTATATATACTTGTGTTTCTATATATGCATGGCCCAATTGCTCCACTCAAAGCCAACATTAAAAGCTGGCCTTTTGTACCTTACACAATTGTCTTTGCTCATATTCCTATAGCTAGCTAGCTCTTCCTTCCTCTCCAACTTCTACAAACTTATCCAATAACTTTAGTGCATAGAGAGGGAAAGCTATGGAGGATGATGCTAGGAAGTTGGAAGAAGGTCGTCCTTATAACAAGGATCATTTCATCAGTGAGAAAGTAAATACAACATCTGGTCACCATGGTGGTGGAAATGCCATTGACCATGATCATGAGGAGAAGAACAAAGCGGCGGTGGCAGCCACGCCTCTGGAGGCGGAGCAAATCAAGGGCAGCGAGCAACTACTAGTGGTTAAGCAGAAGAGCAAGAGGGTTGCTACTTTGGATGCATTCAGAGGCCTCACCATAGTAGTACATATTCATCACCAACCGTTCTGTTTTTACACTCTAACAACGTAACATATTATACACAGTGCCTTTTCTTATGGTGTATGATTGCTTTGATCTTGCTAATTTGTACATGCATGCATATTGTGACAAGTAAGAGATCATGAGTATATATGTGCATTCAGGTGATGATATTGGTAGATGATGCTGGAGGATCATATGCACGTATTGACCATTCACCATGGAACGGATGTACATTGGCCGATTTTGTGATGCCCTTCTTCCTCTTCATTGTGGGGGTCGCCATAGCCCTTGCTCTCAAGGTTTATAATATATTAATCTACCACTTCTCCTATCAATGTTTCAATGTTTTTATCTGTTTGGGTTATGTAACGCACGACCTCTTAATCGGTTTATCCATAATTTAACAAAATTTTGTGTGTTGTTTTCTAAAATTTTGTGCCAATTTGATCACTGACTAAGCTTTTATGACCATTTTGATGTTGCAGAAAATTCCCAAGATCAATGATGCAATCCAGAAGATTATTTTAAGGACATTGAAGCTTATGTTTTGGGGAATCATTTTGCAAGGTGATAGTCCTGTGTTAAGGAAAATTATTTGCTTAAACAACAATACATTGACTTTGCTTAGCTAAAGAGAATTAATGTGCCAAATTCAAATCTTCTTCCCATTATATATGTTTTGCTCTGGTGCATGACCTCTCACTCTCCCATGATTTACTGCAGGAGGATACTCCCACGCGCCAGATGATCTCTCTTATGGAGTTGAGATGAAGCAAATTCGATGGTTTGGCATCCTTCAGGTGTTTCCCCAAACCCATGATTTTTTTAAAAATAAAATTATAATTTTATGTTCTTTCAAATTGATGAAACTCACAAGGACTCATCTGACATTGTTTTCTTTCTTGGTTTGTATGTGTTGGTAAATGGTAAACAGAGAATAGCATTGGTTTACTTTGTTGTTGCTCTAATAGAGACATTCACCTATCTATTTTCACTGTATATAAGTGGCAGTGGAAAGTAAAGAGTCTATGATCTTAAATTTCACTATCAAATAATGCAAACTTTAGCAAATTTATCCCAGTTTGAATCTTATAACTTTGTTCACATTATCTAATTGATTTTATTCTAATTTCCCATTCTTCAGGATTGGAGGGTTCGTCGCGTTCCTCGTCTACATGATTACAACCTTTTCATTGTATGTTCCGGATTGGAGTTTTGTGGTACACAACAAAGATCACGGATCGAAAGAATACTGGGTAGGTATATTTGTTTAATGACTAAGTGTAGGAAGTTTTCACTTTTCACCATGCCTTAAATTTGTTTTCTGGTTTTTTCAGGTTAAGTGTGGGATGAGAGGACATCTAGGACCTGCTTGCAATGCAGTTGGATATGTGGATCGACAGGTCTGGGGCATAAACCATATCTACACACAACCTGTTTGGAGACGCTTGAAGGTTTTAGCTCTTAATAGCTTAGCTATATAAATTTGATGCAGTTGTATAATCAGAAAATAATTAAGTTTCCGTTTGTAAACTCGGAAAACCAACTTGCCGACATTCTGACAAAGGCCGTATCAAGTAAAGTCTTTCATGACTCAGTTGACAAGTTGGGCATGCGTGATATCTTTGCACCAACTTGAGGGGGAGTGTTAGTTAAGACAAAGACAAGACATAGACAAGACCCTAAACCAAGGAAAGCTTGTCTACCATCTCTCATACTTTTCCATGTTTACATATCCATGTTTTAGGGATGTTTACATATCCATGTTTTAGGGATACCTTTCCAGGATTTGTGGTATTAGATGTAACTAATAATTAACCATGTACAATTGCATATAACTCTCCATGTGAGTAATACAATTTCAGATTAGCATTCTCTGCAAATCTTCTTCTCCATTTTCATCTCTATTCTCTCAATTACACTATCTTTGGCATGTTTGTGATGGCAGTTCAGGGCATCTTTGCAGCATTCGTAAATGGATGGTATTATAAATCTTCAGACAATTCACTTGTAAGTATAATCAATCCCCTTTGTCAAAATCATACTAAATTTTCTTGCTTTGATACAATTTGTCTGGAAATGTAATCTAATTTAATGAGGGAACCAAACTGTTAACAGGTGCATTGGATCCAGAAACATGTTTTCATCAATGTATGGCACTCAAAGAGGCTAGGAACCCTCTTATATGTCATATTTGCTGAGATCTTATTCTGGGTAGTAGTTGCTGGCATCTTGCACAAATTCAGAATATACTGGAAGCTGTGGAAGCAGAAAAACAGAAGGCAACAAAGTTTAAAAGAGGACCCAGAAATTGCTGTATTTGTGACATATCTACTATTGCCCTTCATGGGTTCTTTTCGCTGTGGATTTCTTTTGCTGTTTTTAAATTTTCTAGTGAATAGATTTTTCATGGGTTCTTTTGTTTTATTTGCTTATTATACAGAAAGTAGTGTATATGTACACAATTAGTGTTTCAATCTTTCAAGCTGAACCTATCTGCACCAGTGAAAGTTGGGGAAACTTTGTGACCTTAGAGCCACCTTCTTTACCAGCAAAGACTTTTTACCTTTTCATAAAGAGCATGAGAAAAAAATACTAGTAAATTGAAAGAAACAGCCACAATAATAATGGCCACAACAAGACAACATGCATAAAATAAAACTTATAAGATCCAATGGTACTAGGAACCCTACCCTGTCTGTCCTGACCAAGATGTTCCAAATTTGATGGTGAAATATTTGAGTAAAAAGGGGTTAAAATCAGCCTAGAAAGGGACAAGTAAGCAATAGGGCAACAAGTAAGCAATAGGGCAACCAAGAAATATTGGAGCTATAAAAAAAAGCATCTAAAGGTCAAAAATCATAAATAAATAAAAGGCAATCTCAAAGTTCATGACAGAGACCTAATGTTACCAGCATTAACCTAATTAAGAAAGAACAATGATGATCTGGATTCTGGACCGTTGATATTTGTAGCAACAAGAAAATTACCTGTGTGATGATTGAAAGTCATTTTCAATCAGTACAGATTATTTGGAATGTTGGCTTCACCTTTGATTGACTTAAAGACCATGTAGAGAATATGTTTCCTGTGATGAAATACAATCTGCCGACAAAATAAATCTACTTATAATTTGATGCAAGCTGATTTTTTTATATATGCTGAGGCTAAAGGCTTTCTCAGCTCTGCATTAAAAAGGATGAGGACAGGACAGCTAAGAAAACTCATTCAATTCTTTTGAATAAAAATAAAGAACAATATTCTTGGGCACTCAAACTTGATCCAACTTGGGGTGCATCAAAAGAATCTGCTTTGAATCTCATTTTTTTTTATATCTGATCAAACTTGTGAGCACTCAAACTTGATCCAACTTGGGGTGCATCAAAAGAATCTGCTTTGAATCTCATTTTTTTTATATGAGAGAGAGAGAGAGAGAGAGAGAGAGAGAGAGAGAGAGAGAGAGAGAGTTTTGGCAATGACAAATAGTTATTCTTTATTTTCTATTATAATTCAACGTTCAGCCTACAGAGGTATGTACAACAAAAATATAAAAGATAGAGCCGCCTGGAAATGTTGAACTGCACAATTTGATCCAACTGACCAACCACATCCATCCATCACAAGAACGAACTTCTTCAACTATAATAGCACATGAAAGAAATGGCACCATATCTACCTTTTTACAACAATGAGCAAGTGCCATGAGAGCTGCACTCTCCGTTTCCATCTCCTCACTACTGATTTCTTCTCATTCTTACTATATAGAGTTAGTATGGACAAGCTGTAATATAGGATATGCAACCTGCTTCTCCTTTTAACGGCATATATCCCGTCAATTACATTTAGTGATGTGGTAATGGGGAGAATTCTGATGTACAGAACAACACAGGCATCCAAGAGGAACGGCATTTGCATTTGTTATCACTCCCAACCCATCAACATCTTCCAAACTTGTTCTTCAATCTTGTTCCTGGGAACTGACAAGCCATCCCCTTCATCAATCAAGACTCTATAAACTTCCCATTCCCTATCTCCAATTAGATGCCGTCCAATCTTAGCCTGAAAAAAACAATCAGGAGAGCAGAAGTTACTTAGCCAGCTAGAGAAAGGTAAACAAAGAAACAATTGATCAAGACAATAAATTCCATTAAGACGGTTCAAGATAGGAAAGCCTGTTTAGTAAGAACCATAAACCTTAGTTCCATTTGCTTATACATGTAACACATGAAGAAAACCAAATTGTAATAGAGCATACAATTTTGTCTCAAATATTAATGTCCTTGGATCATACAAGGGAAAGCCAAAATATGCCTGTTTGGAAGTACAAAGTGAAGATCAGGAAGTACCGAAAAGACGCCAGTGTTCAGCATCTTGAAAGCAAGGGTGATATCATAAAAAACAAGAGGCCGGCCCTTGCCAGATAATTCCACAGGGTTTGCAACCAGCAGCTCTGTGTCTGGACCTCGATTAACAATAGCTACTCTGAGAGGACGAAGCAGTTCCAGCTGCAAGCGGGATCTCAATGCATTCTGCTTGCTAGGGTCAACTATCTTCTTTCCATCAGCTTGCACGATGAACAAGTCAATCTCACAGTGTCTTCTTTGTTTTATAGAGAAGCGCCCATAAGAGATCTGGTTCATCATAGCATTCAGATATCATCAGAAAATTAGATATTGTAACCCCAGAAGATTCTGTTAACCCTCTTAAAATTTGATCAAAATTTTCCATTACCAAATGTATGCATGCCAACCAAGCATGAAATGCTACAAACAATGAGCAAATATGTCCCTTGGCTACTAGTAACGCAAGAACTAACAACTCAGCCACACGGATACATAAACTAATCTTAACCCTCAAAAAAACCAAAGCAAGACTGAAACTTATTCTTTGTAATGGGCTTCCATGTCAAGAATGGAAAAGCATTCTAGAGAAAATTATAACTAAAAATCTTTTGAATGCATTTTAAATCTTCCGGAAAGAATGATGAGATCAGCAATTTTTCTTGAAAAAGAAAACAGCTCATTTTCCTATGATGTATAGAGTACATGACATCCACTGACCACTCTTGCTTTCTTAGAATATTTATTTGATGCAAATGTCACATTACTTATATATCTACCTGAATATTGTAATCCTTTAAAGTTCTCATTATATCATAAAGAAGACCCTTGTGGTCTTTGCAAATGATTTGGACCAGCGTGTGACCAGGACTCAGTGTGTTGTCCATAGTCACAGAAACACTTCTGGAGGTGAGTGATCCACTTGGGAGTTCAGCGGGCATTTCCAAATCAAACATGTCTTCGGTAATTGCAGATGGAAGAAACGAAGACCCCTGCGAACATGCAGTAATCTCAGGACCAACCATTTCAATTTCACAACTTATCATGGCATCTCCCGTGACTGCTTTTAAGTAGTCAGACACCTCCTCCTTTCTCTTATTTGTATGCAGAAGTTCCCTGATAAAGAAACAAATTCAGAGATTAAGTCACGTATAAAGAAGAATAAGTTTCCTAATAGAGCAACATGAGATGGTGCTGCTCCAATCTGCAAGTGCTGAAAGCATTGGAATGTTTGAATCATTCAATATTTTGTATTTTGTGTGTGCAAAATATGTCTATCAAACTTGTACTCATATATCGTTTTGCAGTCAATTGACTTGAAATTCAAATTGGGATTGTTTACAGCCGTAAGGACGCCATAGAAATTACAAGGAAAAAGAAAACAGGAAACCAGAAAATCACCCCATATTATGTTTAGGAGAATATATCAAGAAAATAGAACCTGGTGTCTGTGATGAAAAACAGGTCCATCACTTTCTCATCTGGCGTGGTGGATACCTTAACTTTCTTGATGGTCAGCTCGAGTTCACAGAGAACCCCTGTCACATCTGCACAAAAACCAAAAGTACGTAAGGCACCAATTAATAACCTTCAATTTGATGATCTTTTAGAAAGATTAGCAATAAAATGAAGAACAAAGCTCCTCATTCATATCAATTCCCAACAACTTAGAACATTTAAGAAACATGCAGATACAAAAACAGAAATTTACCATGTAAGAGCCCTCTTCGATCATAACAACAGAACTTGAGAAGGAACACATCAGGAGGCTTTGGTGGCTGCAAGTCAGACCGGTAAAAAGAAATCCCAGAAGCCGAGGAACAAGAAGGACAGGTCCCCACTAGCCTCTTCTTCAACAAACCCCATCTTGTCTCTGGATTCCCAATGACCCAAAACACTATGTAGCACCATTTCCCATCCGTTGATACATCTTCAAAACACAAACAGAAAACAAGCAAACACTTTCAGCTTCAAGTACACATTTTTCTGTTGGGTTCACAAAATCTTATCAAAACCCAAAACACCCGTAATTTGTTTCACAAATTCACTGGAAAATCTCATTTACCCATGTCTGGTTTAGCAAAATATAAGGCAATTCTCACATACCCA